TAGAAAGGAGAGAAATTGTCACAAGTGATATATGTATGGAGCTAAACCAGTGACAGCTTGTGTCAATGTCAAAAATGACTTTGAAAATTAAGAGATTTAAATTTTTAACAATAAAAAATTTAACATTTCTACTGAAAAGCTGATACTCCTATTTATGCTGCAGCTTTTTCCTAAAGAAATATGATTTCAGTGTCAGAGTTTCTTTAGTTAACAATGTCACCACAAGCTGGTACTGTTTTTGCATGGGGTGCAGTGTTAAACTGAAGGCTCCTTCAGGGGCCTTCTGTTTTTCTGGTTCTCCTAGTCATTTACCTGCAGAAGGCCCTTGAAGGAGCCTTTAGTTTGTACCTGCCCCTGATTTCCCCGGAAAGAAAAGTGTTACTTTTTCAGTAGCAATATTTGATATTTCTTTGTTTGAATTTTGTGTTATATTTGATTTTTTTTTCTATTTACAATACCAAATATTCTCTTCAATGCCAAGGTCACTGTCACTGGTTTGGATTCATGTATTCAGGATATCAACACATTGCAGAACATCATACATTGGCTATGGTAGCCTAAAACCACAATCCTGGTAGCAAAGAACAGGAAGCTAATGCTGCAATTCCCAACAGTTTACCAATGGTGAACAATATCAGATTAAAAGACACTGCCTAATTAATTGGTCTTCATTTTTAGCTGCAACATTAAAATAATCGAGGTTGTAGGGGGGGATATATTCTTGGCACATTTTGGTCCCTCTGCTACATGGTTTGAAATGACTAACTGAAAACAATCATTGTCTATTTCTTTCCCTCTGCCACAGTCTACAGTACCCTTTATGTGATGGCTTATCCCAGCAGGATAATTCACTCTATCACAACGCTCAAATCAACTCGTAGCTGGTTCCCTGAACATGACAGTGATTTCACTGAGCTCCCGCTATTCACCAGATCTTTATACAATAGAGGGTTGGAGGGGGGGTTTAAGAGAAAATATAGTTAATATTTATTAAATGTGACCATTAAAAATTGTAAAAACATTTTACAGCCCCACGAACAAAACCAGAAATACTTAGCAGTTTTATACAGGCTACATTAATAAAGGAGTTACTTTAAATTGCATTCTGCTAAACAATATTTATTCATGTAGGCATCGTTAATGGGAGAAAATATGGTTTAAACAGCAACACTATCACCTTCAACTTTGGCATTCATTAGATTACATTAGCATTGAAAACTAAGAGTTTGAAATTTCGTACATAAAAAAATAAACATTTCTACTGATACTCCTCAAAACATTAGATTACTTTTAAACCAGCTGTGTACCACAGTTGCCCTGGTTTTGTAGATCTTCTCTGCAGATATCACACAAAAACTACACACAAAGAGCTGCGACACAATTGCCTTCATATTTAGTCATTTTTATTCTGTTTAGTTAGAGCTCCAGTGAAGGCGCCTTAGAGCCACATGTGGCAGACTCCTATTCTACACCGTAACTAAAACAGCTTTCTGAGAGCTCTGACCTGCACCAAGAAGCATATGTTGGCCCATATCGTGACTTACTCAAACTTGCACATGAACTGGATCATTATGACATCTTTATGAATTGCTTCTTGGAACGAGATGCACCTTTGGTTAAGAATTTCCTTAAAATCATTTTGTACATTTATAAATGAGGCTTAGAGGGTTTTTCTGTAGCCTCGGGTGTCTGTTCTGCTCCCACTTTCATTTGCTCTGCACTCTGCTTTCTTCTTTTTTCAGCCCTTTATTGTGCTGTATTGTACTTTTGTTTTGTTTTTGTCTTCAGTATAATACATCCGCCTCAAAAGCTGTAAACACTTGCTGCTGCCACTGACTGGTTTAAGGGGGAACTGCTCATTCCACCAAATGTTAAAGAGTTTAAAAAAAAAACTGTATCTAGATTATGATCTGGATCATCACCAAAATGTTATGATTTGATTCGATGCACCTCTGGTAAATGTAATTACTATGTCCATGAAGACATAGTTGGATAAATCCATCCATCCATTCTTCACCTCATTATGCGGGGCCGGGTCGCGGAGACAGCAGTCTAATCAGAGATGCCCAGATTTCCTGATCAACACACACCTTCTCCAGCTGCTCTGGCGGGGCCCCAAGGTGATACCAGGCCAGCTTAGAGAGGTAGTCCCTATAGTGTGTCCTCTGCCTCCACGAGGTCTCCTCCCAATAGACATGCCTGGAATAACCTGACTCCGCCAGCTGGATTTGCTCCGCATATCAATCTGGAAACCTTCCGTTGAAGTAATTTTGGGAAGGGGCGAAAATACTGGTTAGCTGATTGGCCTATGTTGGTGCCAAAACCAGTCGGGAGAAGAGCAAAAACATCTTTTCCTCTGAGAAAAGCCTCCAGAGCAGTGTTTTGCTCTTCTTTCAGTGAAGAAATACTCTGTAATTCTGATAAAACTTGCTCGATAGCCACGCTAACGCTAGTTTCATCGGCTGAAGCCGCCATGTTCTTTAGACTGAACTGTCGCGCTTCTCGTTGCGTCACACCTCAACCCGCCTCAAAGCCAACGCTGATTGGACGTTCGTTTGGTGAACGGCTCCAAATTTTCTTTAATGGAGAGTCTCCAGACTGATCTGCGAGTTAAACCTTGAAAGCTCGCGAGATCAGGATGGTCCGACGGTGGTCCTATGCCTGGAACGCCTCCTTAGGGAGGCGACTAGGAGGCATCTGGGACAGATGCCCCAGCCACCTCAGCTTGCATCTTTCCAAGTGGAGGAGCAACGACTCTACTCCGAGCTCGTCCCGGGTAACTGAGCTCCTCACCCGATCTCGAAGGGTGCGCCCAGCCACCCTGCGAAGGAAACTAATTTTTGCCCCCTGTATTTGCTGTATACTATGTGTTCTAATTAAGTCTGCTAACAGACTGTCGTGGGTTCTTCCTAACAGCCTCTGTGTTAGACCTCGATACGGTCAACTTGACTCCAAAATCATGAGAAAAAAAATCATGGAGGGCATGTCGACGTCTTCAGTTTATCATATTTATTTCACACCTCCCAAAAATAAGAGCAGAGTAGCAGGGGAAAATGCAAAAAAAATTAAATGGAAACAAATGTAGTATTTACATCATTTGAGACAAAAATACCTTTTGTGCTGCACAGCAATGTTACCTTCTCTGTAACCAGGCCAGACTGACTCAGTAAGGTCAGCAGCTCTCCTTATAAATCCTAAGCCCCGCCCTACAATTAGATCAGCAAACAATTGAGTATTGGTTTTAATAATAATAAGGGAAAAAAAAATAAAAAATAAAAATAAAAAAAACATTTATTCCTAGAGAAAAAAAAAATAATAATTTTCTGTTTCCATTCTGAAGTTACTATCTTAAGAAAAAATACAATTAAATTTGCCAGCGGAAATCACTGACTTCCTTTATGAGGAAAAACAAACAGGAAAGAAAAACCCTGAAAATGCCCCGCCCACTTTCTCTCAAACAACGCTCCATGGGTAAGTGCAAACGTGTGTATGTGTTTAAGTGTAAATGTATGAGTTCCGATTAATGAGCATCACCAAGTGTGCACCCTTGGTCGTGCCACATCACACAAGAGGCAAATGTAAGTGAGTAAAGCGATTGATCTGTAACTATCATACACGGGAAGGGACTCGCAGTTGAATGGGTGTGTGCGCACGTGCATTTCTCTGTGTATGTATGTGTGCGTGCATGCGTATCAGCGGGAGGGACCGCGCTGCCCCGTCACACAGACAAACAAGGACGACCGAACACAAAACCTCTTTGGTGGAGATAAAAATTGATGAGGCAGAGGTTGCTTCTTTAGTCCACAATTTATTACTGGCCAGTTTTTGTAGCCTTTCAGCCGGCAGACCTGCAGTGTACAGCAACAGGCCGAGGAGGGGCATGATGGAAAGTTTTAAATAAGGGCTGTATTCATTTTCCATCACCTCTCACCAAGTTATCCGAGATATTGTTTTTGTAATATTTGTAGAAAAGTTAAATTGCTCCATATTTTTTTTTTGTCTTCAGTTACTGTAAAGGCCAGTTTAATAGTAGCTCAACTTACCTGTCAGTTTTGATCTTGACCTGACATTTCCTTTCCTTGAATAGGTCACATGCTGGGTTTCCTGGCTAAGAGCTGAGCAGAACAAGTCGAGATGGAGATAAGCGCAGACAAAAGCTGAAACCTTTTCAACCAGCTTCTATGTGATTCGGCTCTATTCTTAGAAATAATGTGTAAATTTAACAGAAGAGTTTTTGTAATCTTAACACTGTGTTGTCTCCTTTTTTTACTGTACCACTTATTGATATGTGTTCCAGTTGTATGTAGAAAGAGTAAAGATGTAATGCTTTATTATGGGTTGAATACAGGAATGGCTGCCATGACAGTGAGGTTATTCAGGCTAAACATTAGATTAAATGCTATTGGTGTTTAACTCAAATGTTGGGCTGTTGTGGTTTAAAGCTCTTTGTTCAAACCTCTACTCAATAAAAGTGGTGCATCAGCACAATGAGAGTTTAGAAGGAGGGTTTGGTTAAACTAAAGTTATTGATTTTCAGTCCTCATTTTCATTATAGAATCCCTGGGAGCCAGAGGGCTGAAAATTGCTTTGGTTAGTTCAGACAAAGTAACTTATCAAGTGGAATCCACGTGGGATCTGTTCCTCAGATCTGTTGCTGCCTGTGTGGGCATAACAACACATCCTGCTTCTAGGACGTATTTTCCTCTAAACCTGTGGCTGACCTTCACCCCCGTCTTTTTGGTGACTTCCGTGTATTTTTTCCGGACTCTATCTTTAGACATGCTTCAATCAGTTAGTTCATCTATGGCTGAAATGGTGATACTTTCTAATATTTGCATATATATATATATATATATATATATATATATATATATATATATATATATGTTTTTGGCTCAGCAGATATGTGCTGGAAAGGTTTAGGCCAAGATGATTAACTACTAGACTAGTTTTTCTAGGACAAAGCTCTGTTCTAATGTCACTCTTTTCTTTTCTTACAGTCACAGAAAAAGAAGTTCAGCAGTGGTAAGTGTGTACATTTACTTTTAATTCGATTTTTTCTGTCTTCACATAAAACCGGTAATATATCAAAACTTCTCACACTGGCCATTAGCTAATCTAACTTTGGTGTATTTTATTCAGGAGTTGGTTTTCTCAGTCTGTTAAAAGTGTTTTAGCAGTCGATTTGAAGCCATCTCCTTCACTCTTCCCTAAAGACAGATGAGTTCTGAAAATAGAACGACTTTGAAGCGTCACCGTGGATAAATGACGTTGAAGGCTGATAAAACCGATACAAACATTTCCATGATGCATTCCTACCTAACCTTTTCCCTCTTATTTGCAAAAGGCATCTCTGATAACAGAGGAGTGGTGGGGGTTAAGGGTTGTGTGAGGTTTCTTTACTATCGGGGGGTTGCAGTCAATACAGCACTGAGCGAATGTATTCATACCTTGGGACTTTAACCGTTTTTTCCACAGTACAACCACAGAATTTAGTGTATTTTATGAGAAAGTAATGTAATCAATCAATGCAAAGCATTACATGTATGATTTTAAATGGAAAATGATGTGAAGAATAGAGGTGTAGGAAAAATTCGATTTGGCGATATATCATGATTTTTTGCTGCATGATATATTATCGATCTTTCAGTTCCTAGTAACGATTTAAAAAAAAACGAAACATTTTTACCTAAAACAATGAAAGGAAAATGGACAGTCACAGTGGAAAGGCTGATTTATGCTCAGAAACGAGGTCGTCTGTTTGTGTGTCGCAGTGAACGCAGATATGCCCCGCCCCCTCTGCAGACACTCTGGTGCACCTCTCCAAAATTGTAGGTGAGCGCAGACAGGAGGAATTTGATTGGTCAAGTCTACATCCACTCTACTCTATGCGTATTTCCTGTTTGGTACCTTACCGGCTTGTTTTGTTTGTATGATCGCCATTGTGGAAAACGACTCATGAAGATGGACCAGTGAGAAGAGCGAGGTGCGCGAGAACACTGGGACCCTTTTTCCACCTGCATTCCCGCAACTAGACCCACAGCTAGTTTGTGACTGACCCTCTTGTGGAATAACATAGCACAGACAACGCTTCAATATTGGGCATAAATCAAAAATATCTGCGACAAGCTCACTGCGACACACTTCTGCGGGAGTATAACCAGCCCTGAAGACGGGGACTGACTCAAACCCCTAACAATATGGATATCAAAATAACTGAGAGATGAATATCTTCTGATGAACATATTACACCACTCACTTTTTTTATCCATACATTTAATTTTGATAGCTGGGAAAAATATCACAATAAAAAATGATATTGCAAGATGGTGATAATGTCGTATCGTGACCCAAGTATCATGACATGTTTCGAAACACCCATGCCAATACTGACCCCTAATGTAGCAGTCAAATTAAAAGCTTTTACAACTATAACTTAAAGGGTGGCATCTTTTACTTCTTTGATGTTATTTTGCTGCTTTCTACCACTGTAGCCCAGTATTCACCATTTTTCATTGTCCACTCCAACCCGTTTCCATCCCTGCTGATTAAAACTCAACATGTTGGCTGGTGGGGATGAATTCAGTAGGATGAAAATGGCTATTTTTTCATCTCACAGAATTTGGATGCAAGCCTAAGAGCTAAAAATGGTCTTTTCCAACCAAAACACCCTCTTCATGTTTGGTCATCCTCTAAATAGCTTGTGGCAAACTGCAACATATAAAGGTTTTTGTCTTTCTTACATCAATGGCTGTCTTCTTTTCACTTACCCATAATGGGCAGATTTACACAAATAACAGCTAATAGTTATCCAGATGCTCTCACCTGAGTTATGGATTTCTTTAGCTTCTCTGGAGTATTTTCTTTCCTTCTGATTAACACTGCTTTGGTTCACTCCGTAATTCTCTAGACGTGACGTATAACAGATAAAACATGCACTCTGTGAGATGTTCCCTAAAGGATGGGCTGGACTTCATTCACGTATAAAATCGATCGAGTCTAAATATTCCACATATTTTAAAAATATTCAAAAAACGTATACAAAACATATCAATTGTCCTTTCCCTTACACTTCTTATTTATGCACAGTTTATCTCCAGCTAAATATATTAGAATAGAGTTTTTCCTAAAGAACAAAACATTGAAAAAGGTAAAGTGGAAGAACATTGTTGCAAAGAGCATTTTATGGACACAGAGCCTCCACAAAGCTGCCGATTACTAATCCTTTCCTTGTGTTTTTTGTAGCTATTAGTCAGTTTGACCTTCACTACCAGTATCATCTTGTTTAGGGATCTTTGCTCTTATGTCCATGGGGCTTATTGATTTGGGGAAAAAAAAGGTTTAGAGCAGAATAAGAGAAAATATTGAGGAAAATAGGATCGACCTTGTTGGGTTGTAAATATGTGGAGAGTGACGCCGCCATAAGAAAGTGCAGCTTCATTTCACAAATGACTGAAGTTTGGGAAAATAAATCACTTTTCTTAGTTGCTTGTTTGTATTCAGAGCAAAGAACAGTGAATGTCAGACCAGAATACTCCACGGAAGTCATCTCTCTTCCATCTTCACAGTTCAGTTCTCCTGCCTTGGTTTCGCATTACATGGTCAAATTCTACATGCATGAGAGGAGCTCTGACTCCAGAGCTAGTTTCTCTTCATGCCCCCTATTAGGAGCTGCACGGAGGGAAAGAGCCGAGCCACTTTTGAGCAAACAGTAGCTGCAGCATTCGATATTGCTGCTGGAAGTTCCAGAGTCTTCGAGCAGGCCTCTCTGTTGGGCCACATCAGTGCACTTGGGCAGAATAACCCCCCCACACCGGCGCTCTCAAATCTCCACCCCGCCGACTGCACAGCCTGTAGCTCACTATCACCCTCGGTGTCTTTCACAGAGATTTTTGCATGAGTCCTCACTCTAAGATCAGCAGCAATCAACACGGCCAAGTGTGAGGGATGAGAGGGAATTTTACCAGGGGAAATGCCAGATGGCGTGTAATTAGAGCACAGACACATACACAGAAGAATTAGCGGGGTTAGATAAATGCTTCTGTTGTGCATTAAGTTCGCTCCCTTTTTAACTCTCCTCTAAGGGAACATCCTTAGTATGCCGGAGGCCTACCTGAAATCAATAACAAAATCCCGTGGCTCAGTGATGTGCCTGCCAGCGAGGCAGGAGCAAAAGTAAGGTCCTGCACAGCTCTTTAGCAAACCACCACGGTAGATGCCAATAGAAGTTAGAGCCAATGATGAATACTTTAGCGTTGACAGATCACCAGCATGGTCTGATACAGTTTACAATATCTGATACAGTATCTGTTACGTTCCTAGACATGGCAGCATCACACTGCATCACGTACAGTCTGACTGCGTGTGGGTATTAGCACTAGTGTCACGACAATGATCTGTTGGACACGATGTGTTCCTGGCAATAAGAGAAACAGAATCTGGTAAAAAGCTGACAGTGAAAACATGTTTACTTCGCGGTGCGCTGCTTACCGTACCCTGGAGCAACGGTGGAGTGTAAATTTACTAATGTGAGTTTGATGAGAAATGTAGCAAAGACCCTGATGATTTAGCACTAACTCAGATGCATCTCATTTTGGTGCAAGCTCTCAAACAGGCTGAGTTAAGTAAAAGAATGGTTTAATATTTATCAAAAGATAAACATTGTAAATAGAACCAGTTTGAAATGAATTGGTTACAGTATATGCTATCAAACTGCAAACTTCAAAACTAAGAAGTCACATTTTTATATATTAAACTAAAATCTAAATATTGAGCCCCTTGAGTCAGTAGTTTATACTCTTTTGATGGTATGCTTTAGAAGGCCAGTACAGTACATCTACAGACAGACATTCCTGGTCATTTATCTTCACCATACTGTAACTCTGGGTCTGTCAGGTTTAATGGTTGAGTTGAGAAACATGGAAATTAGTTGCTTGATATTTCAGCTCCCTGTAGTCGAAATTATGCACTGCTCACTTCACCACGCCATCAAATCTGCTTACCAATGTGTCATTATATTTTGTCCCCCGTGGATCACCGTATATGATGTGGCACAGAAGATGGTGTAACACTGGTTTCTGTTGTCCTTCAACTCCTCAACTCTCTGTGGCTGAGAGGGAGTCCACATCACATACAGAGAATCAAATTTCAAGTCTTGCTTCAGATGATCAAACTCATTCAGGTGTGAACTTTGACTAGGCCGCTCTAACACATGGATATCCTTTGTTCTAAACCATATCTCTTTAGCTTTGGTTGTATGCGGTCAGGGGTGGCGGTCTCGCCCTAAATATATACTCTATAGTGTAAAACACACATATCAACACTTATGCAACAGCGTTCTATTAGCCACAAAAGCAACCTTTCAAAGGAAAACCCAGTTCTACACCTTCCAATGGTGTTAGTGAGGGTTTCTGACAGGGGCGATGTGAGGAGTTGCATCATACAGTAGCTGCAATTGTGACTACCGACTTTTTTTCATGTTTTTCCATCTCCTATTTGCTAGGTTATTTTTAGAAGCAGACACTGAATCTATTGGCTTTGACAATTTTAATTGAAGTTTCAATCATTCATAAATAATTTAAGCAGACTAAAAAAGAAATCCATGCCATTTGATTGAATTGACAAGTCTGCATTAATTTTAATAAAAAATATTGATATGTATTTTTAGGAGCAGTAGCCTTTGTGGTGTTCATAGTTATGAGGGCAAAAATATATCAGTTGTTAACAAGTTTTTTATTGTACTCTTATTCATGTTAGATTTAGGAAAAATCACTCTGTAGGGCAGAAAAAACATTGGGAGAATCAAATTTGAAATTTCAAAGCTTGCTCAAAATTAGATATTAACTATCAGTAATATTGGCAATAACTAGTTCTTTTAGGGTTTTTTTTATCATATAAAATATAAGAACTACTCCTTTAAAAAGAGACTTTTTACACTTTTTTAATCTTTGTTTAGAAATAATTATTTATTATTTTTACTATTCTCTACAATTCCTTATATAACTATCGCGCAATGTAAGCCAATG